GAGCAATCAAAACCCAGCTTATTAATTTTATATTTATTGACCCTAGACCGGCAGTGCATAGAAAAAAAGGTAGTTACAAAAATAAGATGTTACAAAATGAGACACACATACATACAGGCAAACAGTATGAAAATAAAACGGGATATAACATACAGAAATTATGAATAATCCTGCTTTCGGAGTTGGATGGAAACATGGACACACTCCCATGTGAATGGACCCCTTGAATGTGACAATTTTTTGGTTTCAGATCTCCATAATTATACTATGAAGATCAAAACCAGTTTCCAGCCCCTGAGATCAGCCAATCAGATGGAAGGGGCTGGAGACTGAATAATTACATCTGGGTCTTAAGGTATCATTTTCCTATTGATCATCTTGGAACCCTCATGGCTGTTTCCAGTTATGAACTACAGATCCAAAAGTGACGGTTCTGGTTCCAGCTATTGTTCTGCTATCCGCAGAGTCAAAACGTTGGCACCCTACAGCTAACAGAACCAAACATCCCATAAAGAGACCCAATTATCAGAACTCCTCCATACTGTATGATAAAACCCTCATGTTTAGTATCAGTCAGTTCACCCTTGTGCCACCGATCTTTCCCTGAAGGTTCTACAATCATATGATGTATGGGACAGGAGATATTACCTTTTTTAAGCATTTTGAACATTAAAATACCCACACGGTAAGGTGACACTTTTTCCAGTCTGGTGACAAATCCCACCTGGATTCCCTTTGTCTGCAAGATCCCAAGAAGGAAATTGACTGCTGAGGTCCCCTGCTGGGGGAGCACAACAAACCTAACATTTGGTTTAATTAACACTCTCTAGCTAAGAAGTTTATATATAAATTGTATTAGCTTTGAGACAACATTCACTAAAAGAAATAAATTGACATTTCAGGATGTTTTACAGGAAGCCCCAAAAAAATATGTTTTAACGGCTGCACTATGACACCCCTGTTCACACCTGAAGAGAAAAACGCCAGCAAAATGCCAAATGCCCAAAAAGGTACATGAGCTTCTTTGGGCAGTTAACAGAGCGTTTTTGCCCCATAGACTTCAGTGTGGCAGAAGCATGTTGCCCTTTTTCGTGCGCGTTTAAACACGCGTTCGTCCATTGTCCGCAATGTTTCATAAGCTGCCAGTCAAAATGTGCGTCTTCATATACGCGCGTACAAACGCGCAACAAAATGTGCACAACGCTCATAAATGTGCAAATAACCGCACGCTGAACACGCGCATACAAACTTGCAAAAATGGTGCAACCTAGGTGTGGACCCAGCCTAAAGGTGCCCATACACTGTACGATTCTCGTACGAGAATCGCGGGAAATCCCGCGATCGTACGAGAATCGTACAGTGTCTGGAAGGCGTGCGACCGTTTCTACTGTACGGTCGCACGTCTTCTGTCGAAAAAGCAGGCTTGAAAACCCGCCGAGAATCGCCCGTTTGCAGTGATCGGAAGCACGCCCCTCATTGCGGTCATCGGAAGCCCGCCCCTCAGCAGGACGGGCTTTCGATGATAGCAAGTACGATCTGCCCGTCCAAGATGGGCAGATCGTACGAGCTTTCAATGAGCTTACGACCATCGCAAGACAAAGGTCTTGCGATGGTCGTAAGGTGTATGGGCACCTTTAGATAGCTGTCTCTTTAACAGGTGTTCTAATTGGAAGATTTCCACTCACCTCCTGTTCCTGTAATAACAAATTTTGGATTTTCTATTACTTTCTGTCCCTCTGGCCTGTGACCAACAGAGAGGTTAAATCTTCCCAGCAGTGACACAGACAGTAAAAAAAACAGTAAACCTTCCAAAAAATGTTGCCTTTACATGCACTTTAAGTTAGGTGAAGTTAGGAGTGAGGAGGTTAAATGTTAGGCTATATCTTATTTTGCAGTCTCCGAAAGCCTCTTTCGCCACTTAACACTTCCATTGCCTGTATCCCCCATCTTACATGCCATGTTCTTTCTTCCGACCTCTACATCACTGCTGAGTCCTGCAGTAATGGAGGGGTTGCAGGAAGAAACAACAGCTCACTAAAGGGCACAGCCATCTGACACAGGCTCTCTTTAACTTTAAAGGCTCCAAACAAACGAATGACCTCTGGTCTAGATAACATGCCTTGAATTTGTAGTACAGATGCAAAGAGGGAGCATGATTGTTCTAAAATATGGCTATAGTACACACAGTGCAAAGAAGTATAAAATGTCTTTCTTTCAGTGGCATAGCATTTGTTGCAATATTTTTGTTGCAGACATTGCTTTTTAACAGCAAAGTTCTCTGCGCTGGGTTTTCAGCAACAAATCAAGTGGAAAAAGTATTTGAGTACGCACATTCCATGACCCAAAACCTTAACCTGCCTCTAGTACGTAGGTTTCCTGTCCCCAACACTAAAACCTTACCCCTAATTTAACCCTTAACCTCTCCTTGACACTTAATCCTGACCCTTAACCCTTATTTTAACCTTAGCCTAACCTTATAATGGATTTTGAAGAGACCCTGTCAGGTCCCTGCAATAGAAGGCAGAGTATACTCTTCTCTCCGGTGGCCTGTTTCTACTACTGTACCTAATCTCCTTTCCACCTCTAAAAGTCTCTTTGGCATGCAACACTTTTGGAGGTGTCAGATGCCTGTGTTCTGTGGTGAGCTGTTGTTCCTTCCTGCAACCCCTCCATCACTACAGGACTCAGGAGTGATGTACGGGTTGGAGGAAAGCACATGGCATGCATTGTGGGGGTTACAGGCAATGGAAGTGTCAAATGCTGTAGATGTATGTGCAGCAAAGTAAACATTCTAAGGTGTCATTCACATGGGCAAACAGAACCGTACTGTATGCACATCCATGCCGAAACCTGTGCCCAGCTGTTACATGCAGCTGCCTGTGCAACTCAATGACAGAATGTAGCTCCAAGCTGTTAAATACTAATCTGAACTTGTACATCGGTACAGGTACGGATGCACACATCTGGATTTAGACTGTCTGCTGTCACTCCTGGGCACATGTTTCTGCATGGACATGCATGTGAATGAGCCCTAAAGGACATTGTGAACTGGCAGGTAGGTTTGTTCTATTGCAGAAAAGATATATATCTAGATATATATCTAGATATATATACACTGAGTGGCCAGATTATTATGACCACCCCATCAGTACTTCGTTGGGCCACGCGATGACTCCACGAGATGACTTCGTTGGGCCGCCTCGTGACTCCACGAGATGTTGAAAGGTGATGCGAGGACTCTGACACTGCACTGTTACCCTTCTGATGTCTTGTACCAGTCTTGCCACTCTCCGTTCTCTCTCTGCCCTAACATTGACTAGTCGCTGGCGGCCACAATTCGCACGTTCAGACCCAGATTTTCGGCTGACAGTCCGGTCTTTAAACACTTTAACAACAGCTGCTCTTGAACATTTAACTAATTCTGCTGTTTTGCTGATACTCGCTCCATGGCTCCGAGCGCCAACAATCATCCCACGTTCAAAGGCTGTTAAATCGCATTGTTTACCCATATCTTCAGAAAAAAATAACTAATAACTAATTATAGCTAATTATAGCTAATTTGCCTACAAACATCAGGTGGTCATAATAATCTGGCCACTCAGTGTATATATGTATGTGTGTGTGCCTGCTCACAACTGTTTACTTTTTCAGTATAGTTCTGCTTTAAAATCAGAAAGATGAAATCCTATTCTGCTTCTTGTTTTCTATATACACATAACACACTACAGTCAATTGTGAAAAATGATTCCTCTCCAGCTCACCACTCATCACTGTGGTTGATGTGTAGACATATACCTGTCGCAATCCTCTATGGATTCGTCTACCCAAGTACCAATGTAAAATTAGGAAAGCATTACATACATCTCCCTCCCTCATCAAACAAAGAATGTATGCATATTGATTCACATTACTCTTGACACCGTAATGATGATGCAAATATCTGGACGTAATGTTCAAGAAAATGTTTTTGTCTCAGGTCCACATTACTGCCTCCACAAATGCATAATCTTACTTTAGCGTGGCATTAAATTCTGAACCTTTTTTGTCAATAATGAATACAGATCAAACAAATATACATTGCCCAGCAAAGTATTTCTTTAGATTTTTGCCAAAGCACTTATAGTCATCATGATTCCAAACAGCTCCAACTCTCTCAGCTCATCTTCCCTAAACATCCTGTCCAGTACAAGATCACAAGGGAGAGCAGTCTTCAGCAGCCACCCCTCTACCAGCTTGGATAAGAGAGGAGAAAGCAGGGAAGAAGGAGGAAGGAGGTGGGGAAGCAAGAAGAGGCTCCCCTTGCTGTGCCTGTGTATTTGTGGAAACACATACAGCTTGCTTACCCACACAAGAGTGGCTCCATAGCACTCTGCAAAGAAAAGGAGCACCCTAAAACAGGATATCAGGGCCAGTGCTCAGGGGGGCAGCAGGACATAAAAACACTTTAAGATATTTAGAAGGTAGCATCCATTGTAAGTGATTTGTAAGTACTTGAAAATCTTAAAAACCTTTTGACTTAAATATCACTTTAACTTTCATTACAATATACTGTGTCTCGTTATACATGGGGCACAATTTGCATGTGCCACAGAAACCGTTGTTTTCCGCAGTAAGAGATGAAAATAAAAATCACATGGTTAAAAATAATCATTATGGTAAAGATAACATGCATTTTAGCGTTGTGAATGTAGCCATTATTTTAGTGTGTTCTTCATGGACTGTACTCTTCAATATCACCAGTTTAGTGAATTCACGATATTTATATTTATGCTATGATAGAAGTGCAAGGGTTACAATAACTGCCTTTCATGTCTATTCTGGAGTTCAGCAGCTGCACCTGTAGCATGACATCTCAGCTCTGTCATGCATATTAAATATTTCCCATACACCTGGGCATTTTAACCACAATCACTGTGGATGCTGTAGGGTTAAGCCCTGCAGAGTGAGCAAACGCGTGTGTAAGTCATCACAAGGATGCTGCCCCCCTCCCTGAGCACCTACTATATAAAGTGACTGAGGGCAGTGAAGAGAGATCAACCAAGGCATCTCTCAGACTCACACATCTCTACAGAGCACACAGCACAGACATGTCTGCAGTCCCTGTCATCAGAATCCTGCCCATTGGGTTCCTGGCTAACCTGCTGCTCTTCTCCCTCATCTCGCCCTCTGTGTGCGTGGAGTTCACGGAGGAAACTGGCAAACTAGGCAAAATCAACGTGCTTCAGAGAGCAGGGAATCAGTGGGCAATTGGTGAGTAAAGTTTTTATAATAGACACATGCAGACCTATCGACATGCAAGCTATTATTGGTTTAAAGGATTAGTCTCAGGCAAGGGAAAAAGATGGGAAAGTGCTTATTCTGCTACAAAGTCACTATGTCAAGTAGGAGAAAGTGACATAAAAGGACTGACTTGACATAAAAAGCCCTGACTTGGCACTTGACAAGAAGATTGCAGCAATAAAAATGTTGCACAATCTGACAACAATGGCTTCTTTGCTGTCTTTTTAGAATCAGAGTCAAGTTACAGAATAGGATTGTAGGCTGAATAGTCAGTCCGGTTTATATACAGTTAATGACACTGATTTTTCAAATATGCCCTATAGTAAAATGAAAAGTAAATTCTAGGTGAATATCCTAAAAAAGTAATAGGCACTTAGAAAAAAAGAGCTTGCTCACAGAAATGCCATTATCTAGATATGTTAAATACCTATCCACATGTTGCTCAATAACTTTCTGTAGCAATGTGTTTGAATGAATAGGGTGTCATAGGAGGGATGTAGGAAAAAAAAACTGCTGTATAAAGTTTCTGTTTCTATGTTATAACAATATGTTTGGATGCGGCAAGGTAAGACTAGTCATTTTCATTGTATGTTTGATTTTGGATGACTTTACTAAATGCACATGATCATAGTATATATGTGTACTAAATGTAACAGAAAACATTGCAAGAACAGCCTTGAAAAAAATACTACATATATATATTTATTATCAAGAAGATTGTCTAGCTACTCACATTGTTAACTCTATGATTAGTTTTAGGTTATTTATGTTTGCATAAATGTTATACTACTTGGCTGTACAAATGTACAAAAATGCATATCCTTCTAATGAAGTTGAATTAAACGTACTTTATTATGTTGCTGAAATGCTATACTTATGATCTTGAGTTTACATGTTGATAAAAAAAACCTGTTTGTGCAGCAGCAGCTCCTGACACATTTTGTGTCTGTTTAGAGCCATTCTCCTATGTTGCTTCCTGAGCAGAAAACAAATCCTATAGGATTCCCACTAATTACAAATCAGAGAGATTAAGTAACACTTTTATCCTGTTAAAAAAGTAACACTTTTATAAGCTGCGTATTGCTGACAAAAAAAAAAGAGACAGTGGGAAATGAAATGAAAACACCGTGTCACAGAAGTGTTATTGTTTTGTTCTTCACACAAAAAGAACATTACTATTTTGGTTGTATTAACTTCCATCTAGCCTGTTCCTTAAAGTGACACTAAACTCAGGAGATAAATCTTAAATATGCTTTAACGTACCTTAACTATTTAAAAAAACGCAGCTTATTTGTGTATCACTCAGTTGTAGATCCTCAAACCATCTCTGAATTGGGGCTGACAACGTCCTTTCTTCTGGACAGTGGCTACTTTTGTTCCTCATGGTGGTTGCATGTGTTGTAGAATAGCCAGCGCTCCAAGCTCACTCCTGTGATGGACTACAATCTCAGTACAAATTAGTAAACTAAACGTGAAATTGTAGTCCATGATGGGAATGAGCTTGGAGTGGTGGCTACTATACAACACACACAGCGACCATGGGGAACAAAAGTAGCCACCTCCAGAAAGAAGGATGGTGTCAGCATGAATTCAGAAATGATTTGAGGATCTACAGCCGAGTGATACTCAAATAAAATACATTTATGTTAATACTTAGCGTACTTGGATGCATTTTTAACATTTAACTTCTGAGTTTAGAGTCACTTTAACATCTGAACAAAAGACAGACAAGTAAATTCAAGTTAATTAACAACAACATTGGGGATGTGCATTTAGCTGTGATTTAGTCACCTCTAAAGGTGCAACCTGCTCCAGGATGAATGCATCAAATGTCAAATGTTTTGTTCTAGGCTGAGGAGCTTCTCTTCCCTGTGTCCCTTTCTTAGTATTATGGCTTCCCCCAGTGACCAGTGTTTGGTTTTCAACAAGAATTGGTATACAATATACATATGATTCTATGCTACTGTACAGGTGAAACTCGAATAATTAGAATATCGTGCAAAGTTCATTTATTTCACTAATGCAACTTAAAAGGTGAAACTAATATATGAGATAGACTCATTACATGCAAAGCAAGATAATTCAAGCCGTGATTTGTCATAATTGTGATGATTATGGCTTACAGCTCATGAAAACCCCAAGAACCCCAAATCCACAACCTCAAAAAAGTAGATTATTACATGCAATCAATAAAACAAGGATTGTACATAGAACAATATCTGACCTCTGAAAAGTACAAGCATGCATATGTACTCAGTACTTGGTTTGGGCCCCTTTTGCAGCACTTACTGCAATTACTTTTGCACGATATTCTAATTATTTGAGTTTCACCTGTATGTCAGGCATTAACATTTTTGACTTTTATATAACTACGTATCTAGCTCTGCACCCAGCCCTCCTTCTTACTAATAACGGGTTTGGGCTGGCTAAGCTGGAGCACGAAATTCAGACAAGGGCTAATTGAGCCAGATGCCAGTTACATATCACTACACCTCTGGTATGTGGTAGGAAAACCTATGCAAAAACAGTAACGACATGCATATGCCATTCAAATAGTGCCCCAAGTGGGAATAAAACCCAGCATCATAACAAAGAAAAGCAAGGTATTAGCCGCTCAGTCAGCATGGTTTAGGATTTATTAGGCTCGTGTATGCAGTGATCCTTCTTGAAACAAACCAGTTGCAGCAACAATTCTTTCCCCTGACTGCTGTTACACTAAAAATAGCTTGTATCTATGCAATACAATTAGTGTATTCATTAAAAATTCACTGTTTAATACACAAGCAATCTAGTTTCTATTATCTGTAGCAAAGAAATATCGAAATATATCAGCTATGCCTAATACATATTACACAGAATAGTACGAACCCATGCTAAAACATTTATAAATCTAAAGGCAAAAATGTTTAGAATGTAATATAATTGTTGAATATTTAGATGAAATTGTGATACAATGAGGGTATTTTATTTATTTCTGTCTACAAAGATATACTGTGGCAAGTTCTGTTAGTCTATACCCAGACAAACACCATTCGCTTACTTTAGGGCTTAAACAAAGGCCAAGTGTCAAGCAAAGCCAACCAGCCTTTGTTTTGGAAGGTATATCCGAAGCTAGCCGAAGGATCGGCCGAAGCTAAGGCCAGATCCTTCGGCAGCTTTGCGAATAGACCCCTAAGCGCTGTCATCAGGAAGCACTTTCTTAGTATGAAGCATATTTGTATTAAATATTAATGGTTGCCAGGACCTAGACATATATGCTGCAATTCAAAGCAAACCTGTGAGGAACCCTTAACTACAAAACCATCACTTACTGTGTACTGACAGGTGCCTGTACATCCAATATTGTTTTCTGCAACGTGCTACCTGAATCCAGATACAGGATGCCTAAACATTCAGCCAGCAGGGTCCATCTGCTCTAGCCTCCTGAGGCTCAGTATTGGTGAGAGAGTCTATCCATTACCATGATGGGCCAATAAGAATGCTTAGTAGGTGGGAAAAGGCAGTCAAATATGTTGACCATGGGTTCACATGTCGGGTTCACATGTCAGAGCACCGCAGTATTTTAGGCTAATGGGGCACTCTGCAGAAGATGTAACCAGACATTACGATATCTGGAGAATGCCTTCAGTAAATAGAAGGAGGCAGTTTGTAGTTTTGGGTTAACCAAAGATTCACTTTAAAAGACAATGTAAACAAGTAGTTGTCCTAGGAGAAATAAAAAAAATCAGTGTCATACACCCCTCTTGCCTATCAATCTTCCAAACCACTTATGGTACAGTGAAAAATAAAAAATATAATTTGGTATAGGAGAGGCCCCCATATTGCTCCCTGCAGGGTTTGTTTAGGCATTTGAGAGTGTGATAGAAGGTTGGGGTGAGTTTAAATGTAAACTGTTCCATAATATTTAGTTGGGAATTCAAACACTGTATTCCACATCCATCAATTGCAGCCAAAGCTTTAGTTTTTTTAAAGTTTAGGATAGCGCAGGATATTGTGAGAACCTGTGCCACATTTTTACAGATGTTTGGGTTTAGGCTCACGACACACATTACAATTTGACTCTACAATCTACTCTAAGGGCTTGTTCACACCATGTCCGGATCTTGTTCAGACCAGAACAGTTTGTTCCCGGACCAAAAAAAATCCCAATGTATCCCTATGGTATTTCTGGGCTCTGTTCACACCAGCGCAGTCCGTTCCGGTCCAGACAAATAAGATACTGCTTGTCTCATTTTATCTGGTTTGGGATGCACTGGAACGCATGGAAAGCATAAAAAATGCATACAAATGTGGCAAAACACACTGCACTGCGTTTGCAGATCTGGTCCAGACATGGTGTGAACATAGCCTAAATCTATCAACAACTTTGTAGTGCCCGGGCCTGCCTGATTGGATAATTTAGGTAGGTCCCCATATTAAGTTTTGGTAAATGTAAAGGAGATTGTGCCAAACATGTACAGTCAGATTGCAATGTGTCTGGTGAGCTTTACACTGGGGAATCATGGGAATTCTCTCCAATGGGGATAGAGACAGTAATAACAACACAAAAGATTATCATACACATTTTTGGCACATTTCACACATCCATCAGTTTATCAAAGAATATATTCTTAGAAGAAATGCTGGGAGTAATGTGAAATGCATCAGAAACTATATTTGTGTTATGCCAAGTATTTCCTGATGAAGAGTTTCTGCAGCCTGATCGTGGCGTAATCTTTTGCTTGTTGGATGGTCATTGCGATGTATATGGACCAGACCTGCAGCTCGGTGTTGCAGTGGGGTTTGGAGCATTTGCCTTGAACAGTGATAGCTTCACTTATTACTGTACAGAGCTATAACAGAAGTCATGCCACTGCCTCAATGAATGACAGCCCAACTGTCAGTTATAGCAGAACAATTGTGATGTAGTGCAGTAATGCAGTAGGTGATTTGCCCACACAGGCAATGTAAAGAACTGGAACAATATAAAC